TCTTACGGCTTTTCTAAGCTCAATGTCGAGCTGTTGAATAATGAAGGCGAAACTACGAGAGACTTTGTGAAGCATGGAGAAACCAAAAGGCCAAGTGAGGCTCCGACACGATATTTTTCTCGGCATGCCTCGAAGCCAATTTCAGCTTCAACAATGGATAGAAATCATACGGGTGTTTCACAAGCGCTCCCAAACTCCCCATAATTGAATATTTGTTTTGAAGTCAGACCAAAACAACAAATCAAAATATGGGTATATGGCGAAACAAATGGTTGTTTGGATTTTTGAGGGGGAAATGCAAACTGGGTCAAAATATGGGTTTGATATGTATGCTCATTTTTTTCTAAAAAAAATCCATATGTTTGGAGGACCATACTCCCATATAGTTAAAGCAGATACAAAGGGACCACTCACCAGTTCAAGAATTTCATTCCCCTGGTTGCAATTTCTTCATTCTTTTCTCTACAATTAGCTTCCCACAAATTATCCTCATTGCTGTCAATCTGAAGGACAAAAATTCCACCAATTAACCAATATTGAAATTACAATTATAAAAAATTCCAATATAGGTAAAGTGGATGAGAATCTAGGGTTTCAATTCAAGTTTTTCAAAAAATTAGAAGAAATATAAGGTTTCAATTCAAGTTTTTCAAAAAATAAAAAGAAAAGTAGTTAAATCTAGGGTTTTTGAAAGGGATACGAAGTGGAAGGACTGATGAACTCGTGGATTTTTCTAGTACTGGAAATCATGATGATGGAAACCCTCGCATCGCAGAGAACGGTGAGCTCATTAGCTTTCTTGAAGAGTGTTTCTTCTCTTAGAGAATGTGACTTGTCTGTTGGTCGGGTTCTCAAAAGCATGAGGCCCCTGAGAGAGTTAAGTTTAGGGCTAGGGTTTGCTAAATTTAGTTAAATGTGGTATATATATAGCAGCGTTTGTATAAAAACGCCACTAAAGAATGATTATTTAGCGGCGTTTGTGCTTAAAACACCATTAAAGTACAGTATTTAGCGGCGTTTATATAAAAGCGCCACTAAAGTAAGAGTATTTGGAGGCGTTTGGGCTTAAAACGCCACTAAAGTATGCGTCTTTAGCAGCGTTTGTATAAAAACGCCACTAAAGTACTAGTCTATAGCGGCGTTTGTATAAAAAACGCCACTAAATCACTAGTCTATAGCGGTGTTTGTATAAAAACGCCACTACAGTACATTCTTTAGCGTCGTTTTTATAAAAACGCCGCTATAGTATGAGTCTTTAGCGGTGTTTTTCTAAAAAGGCCGCTATTAACCCATTTTGCTGTAGTCATTGCGGCGTTTGTTGAAAAAACGCCACTATAAAGAACTATTGCGGCGTTTGAGCTATAAACGCCGCTAAATTACCACTCTATTACGGCGTTTATTTAAAAAACACCGTTAAAGTATAATTTTGTGGCGTTTGTATTGTAAACGCTGCGATATGCTTAAATTTTGTGGCATTTTCCCTTAAAACGTTGCTAAAAACACCGCTACAGAACACATTTGCTGTAGTGCAAAGAGTAGATGATGACCAAACAACTCGATATGTTTCCTTTGTGTCATTATCAGCTAGTTTTCGTAGCATCCTCAGTTGAAAACTTCCATCATTGTCTCCTTTGCATTTGTTTGGTTAATTTTTCTTCCATCAAAGTCTTCAAAGGTAAGTTATTTATTCGAATAAATATTTTTTAGTTTCAAAATTAAACTCTTACAGATAATGAAGGTAATGGTATTGGAAACAAGTGTTGGTAATGCTTAATCCCACATAGTATTGGAAACACTATTGGGAATGTTATTTAAGGCTTGGCTTTCCCACTTCCTTGTTGAGTGATAGAGAAAAAGGGGGACTCTCGCGCGCCGCTGCCGCCGTCCCGTCCCGTCCCGTCTCGGGTCGTGGTCGTGGTCGTGGTAATACGTGTCTTCGACACGTCCGCGCGAATTCTATCTTTTTAGAGAAAATTCTTAAGAAACAAATGTAATATTTGGACTATCGCAATGCGAACTTCGCCTATCGCAACGAATTGGAATGAATCGCAATGCGAACTTCGCCTGTCGCAACGAATTGGAATGAATCGCAATGCGAACTTCGCCTGTCGCAACGAATTGGAATGAATCGCAATGCGAACTTCGACTATCGCGTTGCGAATCTGGAAACTGATTTGCGATACCGGAGATCGCGTTGCGAATTATCGATCGCATTGCGATTTACTTGGTCATTTTGGCAAATCCAAAAAACGTTGGTCAAAATCGTATATTACAAGGCATTTTCGGTCACTGAGGTTATTTTCTCTAAAATAAATAACTAACATAAGAAAATTTTAAGGTGATCACGTACCTACCCTAAGACATGGGTGGATTCGCCACTGAACTCGAGTAGTGGCAAAACCATAGATATGGCTTTGGAAAGCTCATTGACACCCTTTTTGTTGTAGCTGACTCTTAGCCCAATTATGCAATCCATCCATAAAGATATGGCAACTTTGTTGCTAATGTCTGAGATTTGCAGAATGGGTTCACTAAATTGGTGCACATACTCGAGATATTTCTATCATGCTTGAGACGCTTAAACTTGGATCGAACTTCGTTCTCGGTATATTCTGGATAAAATTGTTATTTAAACTCGGTTTGAAACTCTCCTTAGGTTCCAATAGTTGTGCCTTCAAACTTTTCATACGAGCACCTATGTCGCAATAATTACAAAGCGACCCCGGTTAGATAAACATTGGCAATATTTATTTTATCAACATCTTCCATAATACTCACGGCTTAGAAGTATTGTTCCATACTCCATAAGAAGTTTTCTATTTCAATTCCCAATCTAGTTCCCTTCGAGTATGAAGTTTTCTACTTCAGTTTCCAATCTAGTTCCCTTGAACTCCTTTGGCCTTAGGACATCCACCTTGATTTGGGGCCGCAGTTATCACCACGTTGCTCATTGCAGCCTTGCATAGCAACAACTCTCCTTTGAGTTCTTGCATCTCTTTCATCACTTGAGAAAACAATATCAAAACTACTTTTGAGAAAAGCAAATTAAAACTAGCATTTCAATCAATCGTTGATTAACATTTCGATTAATCATTCATTGTTCGTTCAAGTGTGGATACCTAAAAATGGTGATCATCTTTCTAAAAATGCAGCACCTTTAAAGATTCAGAGCAAATCAAATGACAACATATAAAGGTTTAAAGAATTAAGGTAATTTTTATTTACCTTTCTTTCGATTTCTATAAAATGCATGCGACCTTGGGAGAAAAATTTTAATTTTTCGTTTTGTTTATTTCATGTTGATTATAACGAAAACTCGACACGGGCACCCTCATGACTCCCTCTGGAAGCAGCCTTATCACATCCTGGACAACCGGAAACACATCCCTATTTGGATTCCTATTTGTCAGACATTATCACCATCACCTCTTCCTCCTAATCCATCACCTCACGCTCCTCACCCCTAACCTCCCTACCTACCTACCTTTGCAGCATCGAGTATTATAATCATAGTTCGTAATTTGGGAAGGAACTCTCCATGAGTATACATAAATTTCCTCATATTAGCGATTTATCCGATTGAGTTGGACAGACAAGAGTACATAACATAGGAAAATGTTCTTGCCCCAATGTGGTGGATGACCTTCAGGTACAAACTAGCCCAGACTTTGATTGATAAAAGGGATGGATTTACCCTCGTAGCAGTTTAGAATGGGATCCGTCAGCAGCCCTGGCCAACTTTGTGTTCACTAGACCTAGTGGAGCACAAAAGGGCGGTTTTATCTCTGCAAGGAACTTACTCTTGTGTGGAAAAGACTTCTCTTAATTTCAAATTTTAATTAAAAAAAAGGAAAGAAAAAGGGATATTGACCTGCAGTTTCTAGCTCGGGAAAGCTTGAAGGGCTCTGTAAGATTAAGGAGCATTTGGGGAAATGAAAAACAGTCGGTGAAGGTATGGAAGTAGCAATTTATGTATTGCAGGTCATTAATTGGGGGCAAGCCTTGGTTTACAAGCGGAAAAAACATTGGCTAAAGAAGGGTATAATTAGATGCCATTTGTTTGTGTACATTACCTTCTATTTAACTGGCTATCAGCTTAAGAAAATATTAAGCTGGGTAAAGTCAATGCTTCCTTCAAGCAGTGAACCACTAATCAAGGATAACTCTTTAGGACTAAACAAATGGTTAGCTCATATATAGGGACTAGGGAGAAGGCTTCTGTGAGATTGAAAAATGGGTGCGTCTTCTTTAAGTGAATACTAGTAATTATATGTGCTGCCCGTAGCACACCGACCCCAAAGGAACCGAAGAAAGGAATGCAGGCAAGGAGAACAAAAATGGGCGAGTTGCAGCATAGTTGTTTGATGATGTCGAAAGCAAAAAAAAAAAGTTTCTCGAGGCTCATGGGTAGGATCAATGGCAAGTCTGATATGATTTGGGCCAGCAGCAGGTAAATGAAAACAATAGAACAAATTTTTCATACATCAACTGACTCAAGCATATCCGTTAACACATTCACACATTGCTTTCCTTGAGTGCACAGAAGTCCTGAAATTCGAGAAAAAGTTTGTGTATACACTGCAAATGTTAAAAGGGCAGAATTCTGTTAACAAATTTAGAAATGACATACTGACATATAAGATCTTCAATAGCAATAGAAGAAGAAACTTTCGATTAAACAAACGTAACATTGCATAATTACAGCAGACTTCAACAAAAAATACATATATGTCGTATACCTTCATTCTTCAATGGCTATTGAACCCTCAATTGTTGTTCTATTAGTGCCAAAATATTACATCTTCATACAGGAACTCCCCATGAGGAATTATATTCTTGTCATTTGACATCTGATTTCCTTTGCAGTTTCAATGCAAGCTCTAAAGTCACCTCCACTTCACCCATGGATGGTCTTTCATCCCCTTATCAGAGATACAACACATAGCAATCTCCAAAATTTGTCGAGGCACTCTGGGGCTATCCTCCCCTCTAAGTATGGATCAATGTTTTGATAAAGGGTCCATTCCTGAAGCACGAAGTTGCCCAACCACCCAGAGATCGTACTCACCAATCATCTGATAGAATGTTGTTTGATCAAAAATTACTTCGAGTAAGACAACGCCAAATGAATAGACATCTACTTTTTCCGACAGGTACTTGGTGCGATGATATTCTGGATCAAGATATCCATAAGCACCCACAACTGGTGTCTCTTTTTTTATCGAAGTTTGTTGACACGCTACGAGGTCCTAACTTGGACAAAGAAACCAGAAAGCTTAGGAACAATTCATTATCTAAAAGAACAGTATGGCTGGTCACAAAACGGTGCATTACTGCATACTTGGCTCCGGTATGAAGATAATGTAATCCGCGAGCTGCACCAATGCAAATTTCTAGCCTCTTCTCCCAAGGGAGTGGATTGGCATTGATACCATTACCATGGAGACAATCGTAGAGCGACCTATTGCACAAGTATTCATAAACAAGGATTGTTTCCCCCTCTTCATCGCAGAACCCAATTAGAGATTCAACATTTAAGTGATTCATCTGACAAAGTAAGACCACTTCAGTTCGGAATAAAATAAGACCAAGATTCATGCGTCTGATAGCAACAGTAGTGGTCCTATCATTTATGAACCCTTATAGACAGATCCAAAATTACTTGTACCTATAAGCAAACCTTTATGGAAGTTTTCAGTAGCAGCTTTGATCTCCGCTAGTGAAAATTGACGAAGTGATAGTCCCTCTGGAAGAGTGGAATACGATTTCCGGAAGATTTTCGTCGACTCCGCCGCGCAATGAAGTCAAAAGTCTTTCTAGAGACTTGAAAGAAACGAAAATTTGAGCTTGAAGAACCTTTCATGGTGGACGATGAGAATGAGGGAGGGGGTTACAAATTTGGATTTACGGGTAATACAGACAATGAAATTTCGCACTTTATGGATTTTGACTTTGAGCACTAAAACCCTAATACAGCTGAATATGGGAGAGGAAACGAGAGATCTCAATTTTCCATTTCAGTTGACTAGCAGAATTAAGATTTTGGGGGAACGGCCAAAAGCAGATGGGTATTGATTTATGGATTAGTTTTTGGCATATTTTGGAATGATCACTTTAATTTTAATTTCGTTCATTTTTATTATTGATAATAATTTGAAAGATTAAATTAAATAGTAATAAACTAAAATTAAATCCATTTTAAGATCAAAAAGACAAATTCCATCTTCAATGAAAAATGATGAGCTTATCTTCAAGCTCAAGAGATGTTGATTATACTCTTTCCTTCATTGAATTCACATGTGATAGCTTTCACACATGAATAGGCTGAACAAAGAAGAGTGCTCATATTTTCCTTTTTTTTTAATCTAATGACATAAGTAAAAATTAAAAGATTTCAAATTCATTTTCCTCTAATGGTCTAATTATCTATCTGACCCTCTTCATTTGACCTCAACTTAAAAAATCTCTTTTCTTTTTTTTAAAAATTTAGAGGGCCTCATTAAAAACTCCCAACAACATAACGTTGGGTTCCTATAAGGGGAAAGAGTGCCCACAAGATCCATTAATCACAAAAAAGAATATTTATTGAGTGATTTAAATAGTTATTATTCTATTGTTAATTACTCCTTGATTGTCGATTTATGTTGTTAATTTTGGTTCTTTCTCTTATTTTCTCTGCAAGACATTGATTTCAGAAACTGTACTAAAAAGGGCAAATTATGCAATTTTTATTTTTTTGGAGTCAAGACTGAACTAGTGGGCATGACTTGTGGCATGACGCGTCTAACATGTTGTCCAATCAATATTTTCGTGAAGACAGGAGACTCAGCCGTAAATTCAAATTTGAAATTAAGAATTATATTTATTTTTAGGATTTAATTCAAAAAATTTCCAATGATTATCTTTTGTAATTTCTTAGGAATTGTCTTCAACATTTTTGGGATTTTAAGAAGCTATAAATACCCCATCGGGTAAGCTTAAGAACATATCTCATCTTTCGGCTTTAGTTTATTCTTTTTTCTCTAGTTTTATAAAAGTGTTTTCTCTCCTTTTATTTCCGTTTTCTTTATTTTCTTTTAAGCTTTCTTATTTTAAAAATGCTAAGCATGATTTTTATCGTGTTTAGCTAAGTTTTTCATAGCCAAATGCTGAAGTGATGACTCAATTCCGATCGTGAGAATTGAAAAGCACTTAATACCTTTCAGGTTACATTTTTATTTTTCTAAAATCAATGATCGACAATCGACCATCCTTTTATAATAAAAAACATTTTCTTTTCAAAAGTGCACGTTGGATTGATTGTGGTTTGATTAACAATTGGGAGGAAGGATCGACTTGTAGCACATTCTATTTCCTGTGAACACACTTAGTGGCTTTCTGCTAAGGGAAACTGAGATTGGATTCGATTCTCAGAGAGACACTATAACCCGAGTTAGGTTTTTCCAAAGCTTTTTAATTGAGTTGACGCTAGTAACGATTGTCGCGATTAGTCCACATAATGACTAATAATCACAAATTGGTTTGGATTGTCGATTCACTTGAGAGAAAACCAAGTTACATGAGTTGGGCCTCGTAGACTATAATCGGCATGAATCAGAAACTAAAATCCTATTAAATGATCAACGAAACTTGAGCCAAAAGCGGAAACCTGAGGCTGATTTTTACTATTAGATTTTCATTTTTCAAATTCACTTTCTTTAAATATTTTCTTTTACTTCTCAAACAAAACCCTCTCATTTTTTATTTTTACTTGCAATTTTTTGCCCAAATCATAGTCAAAGACCACTTCGTCAACAACTTCCATAATCCCTATAGATCGACCCTTACTCTATCTCTTACAATTTCCTATTTATTTATTGAGGCTAAGGAATAATTATTTGAAATTAAAATGCATGTAAATTGGTGTCGTCGGGGACTACGATAAATTACTGATATTAGTTTTTATTTTTATGACCAGACGAAACCCGGACCATTAGAAGCATTTGACCGAGAGATTGAAGCACGAGCTAGAAGAATCCACAAAAAAACTCTTTGAGACAAAAGAAGAAGGTGGCAAGATCAATAAAATCTTGACAAACTGACGTACTCCACAAAATCATTACAAACTGAATCAAATGCAATACTTCAAAAAACCATACCTAATATAGAATGTAACCCCCTCAGACCAATGCGGATAACCCGATCCAATCTGGTTAACGCCGGTCAAAGTTCTGGTCAACGGTGGTCAACGACAGTCAACAGTGGTCAATGTGTCAGGTCGGGCCGGGTCGGACTGGTTCAAATCTTCCCTAATTGTTTTGTGAACCTCCCCCACGCGTAAAGGCAGCGCGTGGGGGCGCGTGCGACGTCTCTGGAGCCCCTAAAATCCTAAAAAAATTCTAAAAAATATTTTCATGCATTTTGAGACACTTACCAAGCTCGGTTCAAAATTTTGAACGGCGGAGAGCTCGATTCTGAAACATTAGAAGCTTTGACTTTCTCACCCCTCCACGCGCCGACGACGGCGGAGACACGAAGGACACTGGTGGACTCGGAACGATGCAAGGAACACGATAGTGCGGGAGGTGTTGAAAACGGGGTGACTGGATCGACGTGAATCGACGAAAAACCAACAGAATTTGAGTTAAAACCGTCGATATTTCCGATTGAAATAACGACAAACGACACCGATTCACTATGAGAGGTTTGAGGGGTTTTGTTCATCTTTCGACAATGAACACGATGGTGGTTTCGGTTCGTCGAAGGTGGCTGGACAGTGAGTAGATCAGAGTTTAAAATCGTTGATCGGGGAGAGGAAAAATGAAAAATTTTCTGTTGAACATAAGGGTGAGAGGTTTATAATTCTCTCATAAAGAAAAATGGGTAAATCATGAGTTTAGCCACTAAATTTCCCGCACTTTATAAAACGATCTACCAACTTTGAAATTTTACAATTAAATCCTCAATTTCTTCCAAAATACCAATTAAATCCAATACTTTATAATTTCTTAATTTTAGCCCCTAAATTGGGGTGTTACAATTCTTCTCTTCTTAAAAGAATTTCGTCCTTGAAATTCATTCATGTCACATAATTGCAGAAATGAAACTTCCATCAGTTCTTTCATATATTTCAGTAGCTTTTACAGGAGTATGAGTCATCTACTAATCCTTAACCAGTTAAGTATACATTCTCATCATAACTCTCCCTCAGTCCAAGAAAATAATCAGAACAAATTTATCCTTGCGAAAGTAATTCAGCCTTGGTTACGAAATTAGACTCATAGAGCGATAACATATCCCAATTTCATTTCTGGAGTCGGATCGAAATCTCATATGAGTAACTATCACATGACTCGTAAGTTTCTTTAAAGAATTTAAACAGACGTTATTAGTATTCCTTTTTGCAAAGGTAGAGCCTTAACAAATAGAAAACTTTGGTTTGCTCGTTACAGATAGGGACTCAACCTTGGAGTTCCGGCTCAGAGAGGTATGATTGTAGTATAGGGGCATGTATGGATTAGACATCTTTTGACATTCGATCGGCCGATCTATCATGAAAATTTTGACTCAAACTTAAGCTCTGATACCACTAAATGTAACCCCCTCAGACCAATGCGGATAACCCGATCCGATCTGGATTGACACATTAGAACCACCGGAGTGACCCACCATAAAAATAGCGGAAAATTTAAAACTTTTGTCAAAACATGTAACTCATAAAATCATTTAGCAGTATTCAGAAATAAAAACAGATTTTTAGACTCGTATATAAAATAAAATACAATCTACATGCCCCCTAATCACATGTACCATACTCTGCAAGCAACGCCAGAAGAACTCCCTTATTGATGTTGATAGTTGTATTGGTACAATTCTTTTAACCTGAAATGGTGAGTAATAGAGTGAGCTTCGGAAAGCTCAGTAACAAAGAACTACTAGATGATGCTACAGGACATGCAGATAAATAGGAAGCCATAATTTCCTTATTTAATCAAACGTATACCAGTTTGCAGGATAATAGTTCATCGAGTAGAAACCATGATGATCACAGTTTATAGGAAGCATTCATAATATCACGTTTTCATGAGGTTGAATAGGATGTCTAGTGTGTTCCAATCAAAACCAGTGAAAAGATATAAATCTTTTAAAACTATAGTGGAACTGTTAAATACATTTTGATGTTTCAATATAACAAATTAAGTTAAATGAATTTTAAGATTTTGCAAATGATTTTCTAAAAGTATATTCAATTTAATTACTTGAATATCAAGCTATTACTCCAAGTCTTTCAAGATCAATTTTAAACCTTACTAAATGTGTAAATTTTTGTTTTATACTTAAACTATTTTTAAACAAATTTTCACAAAGTATTTTGAACCAAAATCAAGCCTAAAATCAATTTTTCAAGGGCATGCACCGATGCACCAATCCATGCATCTATGCATCAATTAATTTCTTGAACATCAAATGCATTTTATGCATCGATGCACATACCATGCATCGATGCACTCATGCTTTTTCAAAACATCCAATGCATTTTATGCATTGATGCACTCTTAGTGTACCGATGCACTGAGAGTCCAATGGTCAAAATATTTGAATTTTACACTAATGCACCG